ATTCCCCTTGATATCCCGTGGTCACCCTATGCGAATCCGGAGAATCAAGCTTTCTCGTGGCCAAGAAACCTCGCAACAGCAGCAACAGCGGCAGAGAGAAATATGAAATATAAATAAAACATATTCTTACCGGCGGCAAGTGCAATAAAAATGCGGGGAGATCAAGAGGGATGCAAGAGGAATACGTAATGGGGTCTTCTTTTCTGCTCTGCCTCCCCTTCGCCGCTGCTCTCTATCTCGTATCTCTTTTACCGGTCGACTATGCCCTTCCTTTCTCCTGCTTCGGTTTTATTCCTCTTCCTCCCTTCTACCCTCGTGCCGGGCAGCAGTCGAAACACGCAGTAAATTTTGAATCCTGCGTGATGAGTGCATCGCGGATCCTTATACAGATTCACGTTTTCATGGACAAATTGATGAAAAATGAAGTTTAATTCGATACGTCTTACCTCTATAAACATGTTTGCTCGGAAAAGAAACATATGTAATTTGTGCTCGACGTTATTTGGACTTATATTTTGATGGAAATCGTTTAGTAATGTTTGTTGGAAACGCACAACGATCAGTGATGAGTTTCAATTGGCATAGAGTCTGCGGTTGACCCAAAAACTATTCATCCTTTATTAATATACTCCTGAAGCCTCTTGTTTTATGATACCAAAAGTGTATATAATTTCTTTTCGTGGTAGAAACTTAAGGACTACTTTAGTATTAATAAGTTTGATCCTGATACAGAAGGAAGGTCATAAGACAAGGAGTTAAATGCCGTCAGCGAATCATCGCAGGAAGAGATACCTCGATATTTTCGAGAGTGGAGTTCGAGCCGCGAAAGATCACCTCGAGATCTTCCAGAACTCTCCAACCATTCTCCACCCGGTCCCGAAGTTGTTTGTCCCAGAAGAGGTTCGACGCGAGAGCGACGTGAGTTTCCATCATAATGCGCATAATTCCTCATTATGCTAGCTCGTGGAGTTGCGCGGAGCTGCGCCGGCGAACCTGTCCTCCTCGTGGAATATTTCCTGGAAAGTTCGCTGCGCGGTCCTCGCCAGGAAGACGGATAGGGGGGAAGAAGAGAGCGGCCGTTAGAAGAAAGGGAGGAAGAAACAATTCCATAAATGCTCGGAGGTATAGACGGTGTTCGTCACCGGAGGGAAAGTACCCGGGGCAAACAAGCCAATAAACCGAACAAACGGTCGTCGGGGACTTAATTAAGGAATGGCGACTGCATCCACGCTCCGGCCGTGCCTTCATTTCGTCCGGCAGCTTTATCGCCGGTGCTTATCTATCGGCCGTGAGATAAGATAAAGAGGGGTCAGAGTTCACGGGGGTTAGATAGAGCCGCCAACCTCCCCCATATGGATGAAAGTTTTCGGGGATGGAAGCACCATATGCGAGCTTCCTGGACGGTCAGAAAGAAGGGTCCATCTCTATCCTTTCCTTCCGCTCCTTCTCCTCGTCGAGACTTTTCCTCTTTGTTCATACAGGGACGGAATAGACGGCGGTCGAGGGGTTGCGCGCGGGGGTTGCAGGGGTGGTGGACGGTCGAGAATCGAGTACGTCGTGTCCAGGAGCACGGCTGAAAGTAAAATAAAAGAATCATGCTGGCTGGGGACCGGGAAAACTGTCCATGTCTAGCTCCGTGCCAGCCCCGCGGTGGATGCATATGTTTTGTCCAGATCGCACATAAGCTTTTTCCTTAAAGTCGAAGGACTCGGAAGGATCGGATCGTTACGCCGAGGCGATACGAATCATTCCGTCCCGGGGCCGAACCGTTTACCGACGCGATAGCACTCGCTCGCGCGCGCACGAGACCGGAAAAAGGGTGTAAAAATTTCTCGTCGTTCCCCTCGTGAGACGATGGAATCCTCGGGACGCGGAATCCAGGGACAAAGTAACATTTTTGTCGGACGAGATACCGGGAACAAGGTCCGGCGCGGCACCGAGAAACGAAAAATTTCGGAATCGTCGAATGAGTTCGAAGGCTCACCGCTCCGGGGACGCGGGATCGTAAAACGGTGCGCGTTTCTGGAATTTTAAAACGGCCCTCGGCCTCAAAATATAAAACGCCGGGTGGAAAATCGTAAAAGCG